AGCTTCCCACTGCCCGGCTTCCTGATTGGCTAGGAAGCTGGCTTCACTTGCTGCTAGGCAGCCTGACCAATCAGGAAGTCGGGTGGCACATCATGACCCGACGCCTAGCTTTCTGATTGGTCAGGAAGACAGGCTGCCTAACAACAAGTGAAACCGGCTTCCTAGCTAATCAGGAAGCTGGGAGGTGGTTCATGACATGCCGACCGGCTTCCTGATTGCCTGGGAAGCCAGTGTTCTATCAAAAGAACACCGGCTTCACATTCGCAGCCTGGCTTCCTGACCGATCAGGAAGCCAGGCGGCACGTCATGACCCACCCCTGGCTTCCTGAATAGCTAGGAAGCCCGCTTCACTTGTTGCTAGGCAGCCTGGCATCCTGACCAATCAGGAAGCCGGGTGGCACATCATGACCCGATTCCTGATTGGTCAGGAAGCCAGGCTGCCTAACAACAAGTGAAATCAGCTTCCTTGCCAATCAGGAAGCTGGGAGACGGGTCATGATGGGCCATCCAGCTTCCTGATTGGTCAGGAAGCCAGGCTACTTTAGCTCGTGAAGCTGGTGTTCTTTCGATAGAACACTGGCTTTCTAGGCAATCAGGAAGCTGGATGGTGGGTCATAAGCCCCGGGATGCTGGAATCGGTATTCGGTATCATACTCGATAACGAAAAACCGCTGTCGGTGCATTTCTAATAAAACTCTTAGCAGCCTCCTCATTTAAACATACAGCGGATGTTTCTGAAGCTGGGTAAACATTGAGAGATGCTTTCTATACAGCCTATTCAAAAATAATCGGACGGATTCCTCCATCCATGCTTACAGTGTAGATGAACAAATTTCCCGCTGTCAGAATACCTAAACAGTACTTGAAGCTGAATGGCTGCAAGCATTGTTCCCCCAACAATTTTCCAGCATATCCGTTTGACAAAAGTCAATTTATTGATCAACCTTGTTCAAGGAGAATGAATTTGTCCTGATTTGATCCATGTGTACCGAGCATAACCTGTTAGAAATCGACAAAAACATGACTTTTTACAACCTTTTTTGTGATCTTTGAGGATCTTTGAGAATGAATTACTATTTAAGCAGCTAGAGAGATCAGGGATAGCTTATTTTTCTTTTTATGCTTGTTAAAAATATGTAAATACTTTCATGTACATAGTCTGGGCACAGGTACACTTTAAGATAATAAATGGAAACAAATGGGAGGCAGGAAAGCAGTGTTTAGCTGTGGTCTTGGACTAGGATTTGTGATGCAAAAAAAACTATAACCTGATCTAATCCGCTTTTGCTTTTCTTTTATTCCAAAAATATAACTTCTACAATGACAGGTTACTATAGAAAAGGCGTCATTTTAATCTCAGGTATTAGACTAGTCTGTTTTTTCTCTGTTTGACATGTGTGTTTTGTTCATATTCAGTGCTGTAAGATGACACAAAATATGCTCTACAGAAATAATGTACTCGGGTAAAATAGTCCAAGTAACAGCCTGGATATATTTTGTCACTAAGCAAAGAGAAGACTGACAGGTCAACCCAATGGCTATCTTGTTTCATGCAAAGACCTGAAATATAATCCTGTGTACTGAAATGTTTAGCTCAGACAGTGTCTTGCCTTCTCTTGCCTCATTTGACCCAACTTGATCAGGACTTTCAACCATCAACTGCAGCACAAATTATACAGCTAAGAAAAATACACAATTTCTAGAATAAAGAACATATCACTTTGTCTTACTTAAAATAGAGTTGCATTTTTGTTCTCTAAAACAGGTCAGTCTGTCCACCCACCCCTTATTATATCTCCATTGCAAGGATCTTTGCACCTGAATTCACAGGACTTCTCTCCTGCCACTTCAAGGAGTTGTCACTCATTTATTTTACAATCTAGAAAGTGTAAAAAGAACAATGAGATATCAGTGTGAGGCACAGCCGGGAGCACGGAAGGTTTAATCTTGCTGCCAAAAACTCAGAAAGATATAAGCCAGTTAGTCATTCAGGTCACTAATGCCCCTCATTATTAATAGGAAGTCTTGGATGGACAATTTAAGAACAAATGTTTGTTAGCAATGTTTTTTACAGGTCATAGGTGTGACTTTGCTGCAAATTATTATCATACCTGTCATTTTCATTTTGAACCTACAAAACCGGGTTCTGAATTTGTTCAAAACCATGCTTATTTTTCTAAGCCACCTTAATTTAGTTTGCTCTGTTACACCACATTGCTGCCAATTAGTTCTTGCTGAGAGATGCCAGTAATACCTGTCACTCTCGAACCACAAAAATGTGGTTTGCCTTTATATCTGAGTCATGATTGGATGTCTTGAAAATTGAAACTTGTTAACTTGTATACCAAAAAGAGAGTCACATTCATAACATTTAAAACATTTTGGTTCCATAGTTTTTGTAGCATTATGTCAACAATTAAGACAACTGCATTTGATCTTTTTTGTTTTTTAAATCTTTGTACATATTCGCAAACAGCCCATTATTTGCCCTGAAGCATGTTATCAGTAGTAATTACATAATGAGGCCTATAGTTCTGTTATAATATGTTTCCAGTGTTTGCAGACCTAATGTCAATAAACTGTGTTGACATTTTAGAGACTGTAAAGAAATTTAGCAGAACTGAGAGAGAAAAAAGAATTGTAAAGGGCTGAGGAATAAAGTATATAATTCACTATATTCATCATTCTCTAGACATCACAAGCATTTGACCCATGCAGTGCAGGGGAAGAGGGGGCACTGCATGTTTATATTTTATACCATCCTTGAGTTCAGCTTTAAATAACTTTCACATGAGTTGGCCTACAAGGAGTGTAAATTACTTGATCTTACAGTATCATGTCATCCACAAAGGTTTAAGTAGATTGACGATAGATTTTGTTTATTTGAATTTACAGTAGATACAAACAATGTTTGTTTCATCCATTTATTGACATATTAAATCCATATCTACAGCCTGAAGGTGATTAAATCATTTTTTTCCAGACAAGTAAACCTGCTTTAAATCTGAACTCCAAGCAGATATACAGTATAAATCACCACTAAATTTAGATATGTATTTTATAAAAAATAATTACATTTATTTTAAATGCAGCTAGTGTAAATACCTGAATTTGACTTGATTTAAGCTGGTTGTAATTGTTTATATTGGATATCCTGCACGCACATGTGCTATAAAGGAACATGCTAACAGGAGTAGAAACAGAGAGATGACATAATTTGTCTGTTGCTGGTTTTTTACTGTCCAATCACAAATAACTGGCAGGCTGGTGACCTTGCTGTCTTGCTTAACCGCAGCAGGAAAAATCAGGTCAGCAGGCTGGCTGTTCTGTCCGGCATGGATGTGTGCACCTGAGGCCTGGGTGGAAAGAAATAAAAATCTTTTGACAGACAAAACATTATTTCAATGGTGCAATTAGTTTTTGGCTTAGAGTTCAGTTTTAAAGAACCCATTCACTGCCATACAATCCAACTCATGCCACCAACACATAAATGTATAATATTTACCCATGCAGAGGGTTTAGTCTTTAAGCCCAGTCTCCAGACCATGCAGTGGACAGATGACATGGTGATAAGGTAACTGTTTACTTATCATAAGATGAGATTTTCCACCTACCCCATTCAACACATGTTAATAAACTGCTGGAATTGGTTTCCCCTCTATATACCCTAGTTGGCTAAATGTTCTTCTTTTTGCCCTTTTTAAACATTTTAGCTTCATAAAGTCTGTCCGGTAAAGGAGAATTAAAAGGTAAACATTCACTTTAATTTTGTTTGTTTGGTGCACATACAAAGTTCGATAGACCTTTACTAAACTACCCTTTAAAGTGACACTAAACTCAGAAGTTAAATCTTAAAAATACATTCATGTACCTTAACTATTAATAAAATGTGTGTATCACTCAGCTGTAGATCCTCAAATCATCTCTGAATTGGTGCTGACACCGTCCTTCCTTCTGGAGGGTGACTTCTTTGTTCCCCATGGTCCCTTGTGTTGTAAAGTAGCCACCGCTCCTAGCTCACTCCTGTGATGGACTACAATCTCATGTTTAGTTTAATTATTATATTGAGATTGTAGTCCATCACGGGAGCGAGCTGGTGGCTACTTTACAACACACACAGGGACCATGGGGAACAAAAGTAGCCACCCTCCAGAAGAAAGGACACTGTCAGCATGAATTCAGAGATGATTTGAGGATCTACAGCCGAGTGATGCACAAATAAGATACATTTTTGTTAATAGTTGGGGTACTTGAATGCATTTTTAAGATTTAACTCCTGAGTTTAGTGTCACATTAATATAAAATAAAAGGTGTCTGTGAATACACTCCCTTATTTTATGAAAAAAAAAATGATCGCAAGTTTCCCGACTTTAGTATAAAGCTTGTTTGGCAGAAGCTGGTACGAAAAAAACCCCTTCTTGTCATGGAGATTTGGGAGGAAAGTATATGAATATATAAATCTTTCACTGTCTTTGCTTTAGAGTGGAAAGAACAATTAAGAGCAACCTTATGTGAGACACTAATCAAAGAGGGCCTCAGACACGCAAAGAGCACTGGCAGTTAGTATGTTACACAAATATATAATTTGAATGTATTATTTTTATAGCCATTACATGCTTCACAAATTGGAGGAAGTTATCTGCAACTACAGATGTATTATTTTGTTTCACATTGCTTTACCTATCTAACTGTTGCACTGATCTGCAATGTAGTGCAAAGTCAGTGCTTAAAGGACTACATTGTGTCAGCCCTGACAAACTGTGAACACTAGGCTCTTTATAGGGCATGGCAAGTAGTGAGCGTGATGCAATGGATGATTGATCAAATGTGAGTGTGTGTGTGTGTGTGTGTATGTAAAAAAAAAAAACACAACTTCAAGCTAACGTAAGCAACCAATATAGTATTATATGGATTTGCTTCTTTTTTTTAATTTCCAGCTCAATATTTTTTTCTCATAAGTTGCTTTGGAATAATTTTAATATTCATAATTTTCTTTTGTATGGGGGGCTGGGGGGGCTGGGGGGGCTGAAAGGTATAGACTATACTTTTGGTATCCTATTATGTCTGGTACAGGTTATACTTTCTGTATCTCTGTATAATTTCTGTAGAAATTATATGCTAAAGATGAAAAACTGAATAAAAATAAAAAGTAAAGAAAAAATGCAGAAACCTGGGTATAAAAATGACACAAGATTGCACTTTGCATTGTTGTCATAATTTTTTTCCTCATTTCTTTTGTTATGTTCTTTATTCCGGTTTATAGTTGTCTGTCCTCTATGGTTATTAATATGTGATTATTTTCCTCTGTATCAGTTCAAAACAAAAAAAAAATCAAAATACTACCACATTTAACTGATCAACTTAAAGGCGTTCTTCTGTGTGTACAAAGCATTTGAAGTATTATAGGTCAACCTAGTTCAGCCGCCAATGAACAATACATCTACCTGGATGAAAGTTCTTGCTGAAAATTGTACTAAGTTGGCGGCTAGACTGTTGAGCACTGAGCAACTATGATATATTGTGCCAAACCACTGTAACATATATTTCAAATATAGCTAATGGTGTTCAGCAAATGAGAAATAAATACATTTTATAGGTTCCTCAAGTGTATGAAGTGCCAAATAGCACTAGAACCACTTTCATTAATAATCTAGAAAAAAACATTTTTTTTACTTTTACTAAAACAATCCATATACTTTTTCCACATAAAACATTCTAGGTCATATGTTAGTGGACTATGAGTTCGGGTCCCAAATAAGGTCCCAACACCGATCTCTGGATCCCATGATTAATATGTATACAGTACCATTAGCTCTGCTTGGTTGGGAGCTTTATCTCTTAAGGTCCCACAACAATGGTAAATTAGGAGTTGAGGCTCTAGATACTTGACGCTTGGGGTGCCACCATAGAAAAGGCTGGGAACCACTTTTCTAGGATTTCCTCAAGGGCTTTCACGCATACTTTGTCAAGACTTATATGAACAGTATAATTACTTTAAAAACACTAAATAACCAATGTTATAATAACAAAAAAATAAATGTATTCACTTGAGCTCATAGGAAAAATAATGAATATATTAAAAATAATTCTTATTGTTACACTGAAACCAATGTATGAATTATTGTAATCTGCCTAAATGATGCATTTTTATGGACGCAAAATGGGCTGTTGTTATATTAAAGATTCAGAAAAAATGTGGAATGTTCTCTAAAACAATTACATGTTTCTCTTCCTTTGTGCTAAACATAAAAACCAGACTGTCATCATCATTGCCAGTCCTATCAGTATGTAAATTGCTTGGTTTCAGTTTACATATAGATAGTTAGCAACAGAACTTCAGAAAGAAAATCACAAAGATTTTATCATATTTATTAATATAAACATGGCAAATCACACATACACAAACTTGGTACAATTAGTGAGATTTTTGCTGTTGTATCTGTGCAATCAGAACATGGAACTGAGATACTGTTGACGCTGTTAACATTGACAATGTTACTCACATGTCATCTGACACAACAGTCAATTTCTCCTCTTTCAGGTTAAATAATGCAGATAATCCATTTAAAAAGAAAATCTATTCAGAGATCCAATCACATGCCACAGCAGTCACTATCGCATGGTATGGATACCGCTGGCTAAGAACCTTTGCACTATAGGAACATTTTTAATATTGATTGATACATTTGGGTATTTGAGGCAATGGCAATTGATTACATTGAAGGCAGCTTGTTCACCGAACAATTTTCCACTGTGATGGACTTTTGTTGAGGTAATAGTGCTACCTATGGATAGACTTTCAGCCAATTTAGCATGGATTCAATCTGTGTGTTTTTCTAAATCTCCTTGCATGTAATTAGGTAATCATAGCATAGCAAATTTTGACAACATTCACTAACCTAAGGGAAAAGTCTCTTGCCAATGCAAATCACCTTGCACAGTGAACAGACAATTTGCCTTTAGCAATGCAAACCCTATGGAATGACCATTTAAATGCCTGAATCCCGTTTCTAACTCTTTACATACATTGGAGCCTGCTATTTCATTCACTTACCCAAATGTTTGCTGTAGTGGACAGCTTGATGTACTCAACACCTTCATGAAAAGAAATAAACCTTTGTGGGGAGGAGAGGGTCCTGCATGGCCATGGCAAAGGGGTAATTAGACCAGCCAATCAGAATCCATTCACGGTTAGTGAATGGCACTAAACTGTATATGAATAGAGAGCCTAAGGTGGCTGAGAAGGAAGGAGGGTGCAGAGTCATGAAGAGAGGCACAGAGGTGCATATATAGATTGGAGATATATGCTGGGTAAATAGAGTGGGTCATCATGGAACCCTTTGTCATCTGAGGTCTAGATATTTGACTCTGTATTACTCTGTTGGACTATTCCTGTTCATCTGCCTTTTGTTGGATTAAACGCTACTCTCTGGAAAAGAGCTGATGTTGCCTGTATTTTAACAACGCATATAAATACATATATTTGGATAGATATATATTTATACTTCCTGCTATATAGTACTTCACTACACTAGAGACAATAGTAAGAAAACTGTATTACAAATTAGAACATATGTGACCAACTTTCCAATCTGCTTAAAGCTAATTCTCCAACTTTTTGCACCTCAGCCACACATTATCATCCAACTTATTTAGGTACACTGAATGTGGTGTACACTAGACATGTGCGATTCGGTTCATTCGGAAATTCGAAGATTCGAATGCATCCGAATCCCGAATTAAAGCTAAGACGAATGCAAACGAATCCGAAATTCCCGATTTCCCGAAATTCGTTAGTGGACGAATTTCGTTGCAGCAAAATGACATTAGGAAAAAACTATTTACAACATTTACCTTCCACAACATTTCTATGGTTAAAGTACAGAATCAATAGCATAGAGGTTAGAGGACAGGTTTGCCATTGTCAAGGTTGAAGGTTCTAGTTCCGGGAAGGGATAATGTTTTTTTTTTTTTTCTTTGCTTTTGAATTGGCATTCTCCTATTGACCTAAATGACTAAATGTCATTTTTTTTTAATTTTGCTATTGGACGAATTCCTTTGCAGCAAAATTTAAAAAAAGTGCGTGGGGTTCCCCCCAAAATCCATACCAGACCCTTAAGGTCTGGTAGGAATTTTAAAGGGGAACCCCAGCCCCAAACAATGGGGGGGGGAAACGTGGAGTCCCCCTAACAGTCCTACCAGACCCTTGATCCGAGCACAGGCCCGGCAGGGCAGGAAAGGTGGGGGGGGGCGACCGAGCATCCCCCCTCCCTGCGCCTTACCAGGCCACATGCCCTCGGCATTGGGAGGGTTTCCCCCTGCCGATGGGGACAAGGGCCTCTTCCCCACAACCCTGACCCGGTGGTTGTGGGGGTCTGCGGGTAAGGGGGCTTATTTGCATTGGGGTACCCCTTTAAATAAGGGGACACCCAGATGCCGCCCCCCCATGTGAACGAGTAAGGAGTACTTGTACCCCTACCCATTCACTAAAGGGTTAAATCAAATAGTTAGTAAAAAGTCCAGACTTTTGACAAAATCCTTTAATTGGAAAAAAAAACCAAACAGTCAATTTTTGACTATTCCTTTAATAAAAAAAAATTGTTAAATGGCTCCATCGATGTAATCCAGAGTCAAGATCAGGATGCAGCACCCCCGCCGACCCGCCGAAATAAAAAAAGTCCCGCCGCAGACGACCACCCGAATCCAACGAAAATTAGCCGCAAAAAAATGACATTCAGTTTGAAAGTCAACAGATGGGCGGAGCGAGCCATGACGTCACGGCTCACTCCGCCCATTTGACATTCTCAGCTGTCAAATGCTACATATTGCATTCATATATATCAAATGCTTCTATGGTTAAAGTATAGAGGCTATAGAGTAGTGGTTAAAGCACAGGCTTGCCATTGATAAAGTCGCAGGTTCTAGTCCAGGAATGGGCGATGAAAGTTTGCTTTTTAATAAACTAATTTCGGCAGGACTACCGCTAACGAATTTCGTCCGAAACTAATTTAATTTCGGATCAGAAAAACGAAACTAAACTAAATATTTTTTTTTTTTTAAACGAAACTAAACAAATTTTTTGCTGGTGCACATGTCTAGTGTACACCCAAACATCTTAAGATATGTGTAAATGTTATAGATTGTGCAATCAGAGCACAATGTGGTGGACAATGTAAGATGGTTTTACATCCTTCACGTTCAGATATTTTTTTGTATCAACTTTTTTTCCACAATTGCTGCATCCTGCGGCCCTCACTCCTGCAAATTTTGTAGGTAGATCTGTATCAACAGGCACAGATCCAATTTGTAGAGTACATTATGGCTGCAAGAATCACCACATGCTAAATGTAACATACAATAATGTACAGAACAGCTCATAGCAGGCTCAGAAGGGAAACAGCACATGGAAAGATATCTGGTAGGTTTTTTTATCTATTTCATTATATTAAAGTAAACTTGTACTACAAGGAATACTAGTTTCCTGGCTGTGTCTGTCTTCAGTACTGTGTGAGTCATTGACCTGGAACAAGATTATACGGCCAGACTAAATTTACAATGCAATATAATTGTTAGGTTTCCCAAAAAACTTTGTCTCATCTCACTCAGATTAGATACACAAAACAGAATTGGATAGGGCTTTTCGGATGAGAGAACAGAGAACAAAACTTTTATTAACATAGAAAACATTAAAATATCCATGAACACTAATAAAAGCAAGTCACTATTGTTGGCAGAGGACTACCAGAGTCTTGAGGAGCAAGACTAATAATTGCATCTATTTGTACAAAACCCATATGGTATAGACCACTAGATGTTAATGAGTGATTTAACCAATGTTCAATAATGCCACCTTCAACGCATTACAGTACATGTCATCGCTTCATCAGGAAGGTGAATGTTAGGAGAATGTTTTTTTTTTTTTTTTAAAGCGTGGGGTTCCCCCCAAAAGTCATCCCAGACCTTTTAGGTCTGGTAGGAATATTGAGGAGGGACCCCGTGTAAAAAAACAAAAAAAGTGTGTGGGGTTCCCCCTTAAAGTCATACCAGGCCCAAAAAAGTGGGCTCACCCCTAAAATTCCATACCAGACCCTTTATCCCTTTCCTGGCAGGGGTCCCTCGCCCCCCACCTCCCTCCCATACCAGGCTGCATGCCCTCGGCACTGGGAGGGTGCTTTTCCAGGGTTGCCTGGTTTGGGACCCCAGATTTTGTAAATCTATAAAACTGGCCACACATGTTACAATACAATTGCACAATCTGTCTTTTTAAAGGTAAAGCCCACTTTAAAAAAAATAATCATTGCATACATATTCATAAAAGAAAAAAATTGCATTTGCGATTTTTTTGCATTAGAGGCATTAACTACCTACCGGCTGGCCGTTGTGTATACACGGCCGGCCGGGAGCTTCTTGGATGTAACTGGGCATGTATACACGTCCTGTTACATCCATCCGCCCGTGCGCGGCGCGCGCGAGCGGGAAATGCTGGTTATTTTAAAACAGGCAGCGATGCCCGTTACTATACAAGCGATTCGCCGGCTATAGAGCCGGCGGATCGCTTGTATGAGGTCCTGTGACGCGCGCCCCCCCCCTTCGCACCTCTGTCACAGGGGATCAGAGGGAGGTCGGTTCACGACCTCCCTCCTGTCCCCTCTCCGCTGTCAGAATGCGGAAGTGGTGT